GGGGATAGCAAGTGATGGACAGGAGGAGAATAGAAAGGGCAGGGCTTCAAGAAGGGGCGGGGCTTCAGATCTTCGCCTGTTCTGAGATTTAAAACATGATCTTGGGTGTAAAAAGGTTGGAGACCACTGCTCTAACCCCTGGTACATATCTAAAGCCATTGTAGACTTTTCCCATGGATGGATAAAATGTGCTCCCTGCAGAAGTTAACTTTTTTGCAAGCAGCATGATAGTAATCAAACAGAAAGTGACATAATGCTAACGTGACAAAAATCATTAGTACAATATTCATATGACTATTTTTAAAGAATGGTAAAAAGAGTAAGGGTAGTCTTTGTGTGGTTTTTGAATCCTGTGAATAGTTCTTAGGATTTCTACAGAGGAATTGTATTAAAACATTCCACAAAGCATATTTTTCTAAAATATTTCAAGATACATCAAGTTTGAAATTCTTGCTATTTTCCATAAGCCCCAGAAGAAATTTTACAAAAAAGGTGACTATTTTCTAAAGCGCACATACAACTTGTTTCCCAACCAAAAATAAAGAAAGAAAATAAAGCCACTAGATAGAACTCAGACTAGGGATGTGAAGGACTAGTCGACTATCCGATAAGCTTTGCTTATCAGAGTCAACAAGTTTGTCGACTAGTTGCTCCCCCGCACCCTTTTGCTGCCTCTATCAGAAAGAGGTAGCAAGGGAGGGGGGGAAGAAGACGGTACTTCAAAGTGGCAGCGCTGCGTGGAGCCTGGGGCCGGATCCTGGGCTCCAGGAAGTGCTGCCACTTAGAAACACCTCTGAGAGAGCCCGATGTCAGGCCCCTCCCAGCATTTCAAAGCGGCAGCGCTGCCTGGAGCCCCAGGTGATCCCGAGCTCTAGGCAACGCTGCCACTTTGAAATGCCAGGAGGAGCCTGATGCCAGGCTCCACAGCATTTCAAAGCAGCAGCGACGCATGGAGCGGCAGTGAGCAGGGAGCCCACAGCCGCTCCACATGGCACATTCACCTTTAAAGTGTAGCAACAGCTCTAGGGCTAACTTCAAAGGCAGAAACACTCTAGTCGATGCGTTTTGCATCGATTGTTTGACTAGTCAGTATTCGCATGGTACCCATATCTGTCCAGAGTATGACATTGCTAATAGTGATTTGAGGTAAGCTTTAAGAAAAGAAAGCCCAGCAGAACAAAGATGACAACGTGCCTATTTACAATACTGTACTGACAAAAAACATAGCAGCCAGAGTCACAGCTTCTCATGACTCTCAATCAGTCTCTTCCTTTTCTGGCTATTTTGAGTTTATTATACATTTCTCTGACTGCATGCCTTATACCCAAGACAATTAAAAACAGGTAAATGAATGGGTGGTCGGTGCAGCTGGGGCTGGAGGAGGCAGGCCCCAGCTCCACCTTCAGCCCGGCCCCCTCCACAATTTAAGATATACAGCTGAGGTAAGATTTGTTACTTGTATTTTAAACTATTTTCCTTTGGGGATACCTAGGGATATAATAGCATAGTCGAGTAATCGATTAACCGATGAGCAAAAGGTTATACGTTAATTCTATAGACTACATGTATTTCCCTCCCCTCCCCCAGCCAGAATTTTTTTTTTTTTTAAGCAGGCTGGCCATCAGCCCAGCCCAGTCCTAGCTTGTGACGGGTCTGGGACCTACCCCCTGCTGCAGCTCTGCATTTAAAGTGTATTAGGAGCTGGGTGGATAAGCAACCCAGCTCAGTTCCAGCTCGCACCAGATCCAGGAGCTGCTGCCACCCTGCACTGCTGCCTCTATCAGAAACAGCACAGGATGACAGGCAGCCTGTCCACGAGGGGAGCTGGTTTTTAAACAGAATCCCCTTGAGGACCAGTTCCCACCTGGCACCCCATGCTGCTGCCCCTGATACAGAGGCAGCAGCATGGAGTGGCAGAGGGCTCCTCAGGAGTGAGGATAGAGCATCCTGGCTGCCAGCCCCACCCTGGAGGACTACAGAATAGTTGACTAACTGATAAGAATTCATGAAGTTACTCAACTATTCAATTAACCGATATTTAATATCCCTGGCAATCCCCTGTCTTTACTTACACAACAGATTCCACTTAACAGCAACCTATTAACTTTCCTTCAATAGAAACATTTTGCCTGGAATGATCCAACTGACTAGAAGGTTAATTGGTCTAATTATTGGTAACATTTGCTGTTTATTGGCAATTTTATTGAATGCCAGGCAGCTGTATATGCCCTTCCTTCCACGTGGAAGTCATAGCCACACATAGGTTTGCAGAATTGAAGCCAAGGATGTACCAAGCCCTAGGATAGTCTGTGTGCAGGGCAATAGCAGAGAATCTTGTGATCCATCCCTTCATTCACTTCCAGCTCTTGAGTATTTTGATTGACAATTGCAGCAGATTGCATCCCTGTCCATCTTGGCTACTAGCTCTATCAATTACTATCCTCCAGGAACTTATTTGAACTAGGGATATTAAGATACATTTGTGTAAACATGTAGCTGCTGAATTTTTCTTAGCGATTCAAAGTTTGGGGGGGGGGAGGGGAGGAGAGAGAAGAGAACAAGCAAGAGTCCTTACAGAAAGCTGCCCCCACCCCTCTGTTGCCCCTCTCTCAGAGGCAGCAATGTGGGGCGGGGGCATGCCAGGAAGGTGCACAGGAGCTGGCATGGGCCTTTTCCCCCTGCTGCCTGAGAATTAGAGGCAGTGAGGAGTAGAGATGTTAATTTTGGTTAATCAGCTAATCAAGTAGTTAATGGAATTTTCATCCACTACTCAATTAGTCAATAAAAGGGGTGCTCTCTATCCCCGCTGCACCTCTGCCTTGGAAATGTAGCAAGAGCCACCAGGTGGCTCTTGCTACATTTCCAAGGCAGAGGCACAGCAGTTGGGATCCCGCTTCAGTTCCCGCTACACTTCTGCCTCCCCACACTATGGAGAAAGTGCAGGGGGAACCAGTTTCTAAGCCAGCTCCCCCAGCACCAGTTCCTGCTCTGCCCCCTTACTGCCTCTGATATAGAGGCGGGGGTGGGGAGAGGTAGATGACAAATGCAAGTAGTCAACTCAACTACCCAATAAGCATAGGCTTATTGGGTAGTTGACTATTTGACTACTCTTTTACATCCATAGCAGGGGGAGGGGAGGAGCAAATGTAACCATGATGGTTAACTGATAAACTCAGGCTTATCAGTTAGCAGTGTTCACAGATACACAGTAATTTCCCTATTTTGAACCATATCCTGTGGCAACTAGTTCCATTGTGTCAGGCCTGCACAACTCAGAAAGCAGCGAGGGCCATATTACTCCAAAGAAAACAGCTGCGGGCTACAAGTAAGGCTGCCAGATGCTCTCCCAAAAAATACCAAACACGCGGGCTAAAATTTTTTGTTGAGAATAAAAAAAATTTAAAAAAAAAAACAAACCACCACACACACACACACACACACAAAAACCCCACACCACCACCATCCATGTTGGGCATACAAAAAAACCCCCGCACCACCCGGCATCAGCACACAACCACAGATTTTGTTGAAAGCTCAAGATTTTGTTGAATAAATTCACACGCAAGGGAAAGACTCTCAGTCACACACAAAGAGAAGAAATATCTCACGGAGCAAAATTTGTTCCCTCTAATACAAGTTATAATATCGATGGGACGTAGATTTTACCAGCTGGCGAGCTGTGACAGGGCGACCCACCCTGCACTCCTATAGCACTGACCCCCGTGCTGCATGGGGAGCGCGGTGTTCTGACAGCAGTCTGTGCTGTGCAAGCGGCCACTCAGCTGAGCGGCGTGCAGCAGGACTAAGCCCTGGGACGGGAGCTGGAAGCAGGGGCGGGGCCGCACGTGGGCAGAGGGCGGGGCCAGAGCAAGTGCGTCCCTGACATCGGGGGAGAGGCGCCGGCACAAGAGTGCGCCGCATTCAAAAGGGGAGTAGAGGAGAGCGGAAGAGAGGCGGGAGGAAATATTATTTCCTAAAGTCATCGCGGGCTGCACAGTGAACCCCTTCGGGCCGCATGTTGTACAGTGTTTTGTGTGAAGTAGTATTTCCTTTTTCTTTTTTTTTTTTAAACTTGCATGACTCCTGGTTCTTGATGTTTATTCCTTCACCTCACTTCTTTATTTGCTTTCTCCACATAATTCATGATTTTATATAGATTTCTATCATATCCCTTGTTAATCATCTTTTGGAAGTTGAAAAATCCCCGTCTTTTTAAACTCTCCTCATACAGAAACTGTACCAAACCCTTAGTCATTTTTGTTGCCCTTCTGTGTATCTTTTCAAATTCTAATATCTTATTGAGCTGGGGTAACTAGAACTGCAAACAGTATTCAAGTTTTTAGTATCATGGATTAAGATATTCAACAGCATTAAGATATTCTATCTACTTTCTTGAAAACAGTCTAATTATAATTAGATAAAACCATTGTTGGTTCAAGAAAGTTCTTTAAACAAAAGTCTCCACAACAGAAAAAAGCCAGTTAGTAAGGGGTATGCTTAGCTTACATCTTGTGTGTGGAATTACAATGTCATCTGAAGAAGTGGGTTGTGCCCATGAAAACTCATGATACCATCTACATGTTTTGTTAGTCTTTAAAGTGCTATCAAATTATTTGTTGTTGTTTTTATTAAGTTTACTTGCAGTTTAATTTGATTCTTCAACATACTGCTCTTTTGGAGACTCTAATGCCAAGTTCTTCAGCATGACAAAACCTTTATATTTTAGTATCTATTATGAAATGTTAAATCCACAGGCATGTCTCAAAGATAAAATGAGCTTTTGTAGAAACAACCAAAGTTTATTGGTATTTAGTCTGTACTATACCGGAACCCTCTGCATTGATTTCAGAAAGCACAACAAACTAGAGTACAGTTTTAAATATTTACAGTATTTCAAATTTTTTATTTTGTTAGAGTAATTTTATAAGATGAATTGGCCAGTGGACATACCGTCACCTAACAAATTTAGAACATGCTGTTAAAAAAAAAAATCAACTTACCCAAATAAGAATTTATATTCTCAGACAGTTACAAAAGCGGGATAGGTTGAGGCAGAACAGCGTGTAGTGTTTAGAATGAACTGCTTGTAAAGTATTTTTTTTTAGCAAAAAAAGTCTTAAAGGGAAGAAAGTCATTTTTCACATGATCTCACTTAGAAAAAATCTGTTTCAAATTGCCCTACGTGTCCTGGCCTCCAGCCTGTTTTATTGGAGGCCTTTCCTGTACAGTTCCATAGGGGATAGGAATCTCTCAAAAAATTTCCTTAAAAGGATGTGTTAGATACACTCTATATATGGCATTATGTAGCTACAGAGGCCAACAGTTCTGAGTACAGAAAAGCTATCTATTCTTTATATTCAAAGGCAGGTTACTACAAAAAAATTAAGATATCTGTGAGCATCTTAATTCAAAAGACAAGGTTGAAAGAAAATAAAGTTTACTGAAAGTTAAAGTCATCCCCTTATGGTACTGATCTGGCATCAAGAATGTAGCAACATTCTCTCTAAAATTAAGTCACATTTGAAACTGCATTCAAAACAACTTCAGATGTACACTTTAACACGCAACTATTACTAAAATGCAACTGAAATGACTTAATTCAGAGACACCCAAACCCAATACCTCAGCTTGGTTCAATCAGGTCACAAGCAAATGGTCTCACACTCAATTCAAACTATCTTTTATGATGCATACAATAAGCTTAAGTAATACAGTTAATCTTTTTTGTACATGTTATTAAACCTTGGATGTTGACTTCAGTAAGCTTTGTTTCATTTCTTACAGTTTCAGTAAAAACTTAAAAAACACCCAATAGCACCAGAGGACTGAGAAAGTGGGTTGTACCCATGAAAGCTCATAATACCATCTCTACATGTTTTGTTAGTCTTTAAGGTTCTGCTAGACTATTCGTTGTTTACGTTTTTCCAGTTACAGACTAACTTGGCAATCCCTCTGAAGTTTCAGTAAACATTGTGGTAGACTAATCAATTGAAGTGTTATTGCAATAAATATTAAATTTCTCTTATTGGAAAAATAATAAGTGTTAGAACTTAGGTACATATTAGTCATCTAAAAGGAGTGAGAAGTTCAGTATCTCAAATAAGAGCCTATTGGTGTTCTGGCACTTTCAAAATGGTCAGTATTTCAAGAGGCTATTTTTAAAGAAACCTGACATTAAATAAACCACAGTGGTTTGGTAACTGGCTGAAGCTTTCTGGGAAAAAAAAAATCACAGGGTACATGTAGACTACACCTCTCTGTCGACAGAGAGATGTAGATTAGGCACGTTGAAATTGCTAATGAAGCAGGGATTTAAATATCCCATGCTTCATTAGCATAAACATTTTTCCGCTTTTTTTTTGACACGGAGCTTTTTTGAAAAAAAAATGGCAATCCTGATGGAGATCTGTCAAAATAAACCCTTTTTCGACAGATGCCGTATTCCTTTAAAAAAAAAAAAAGAGGTTTACAGGATGTCGAAAAAGGGTTTATTTTGACAGATCTCCATCAGGATTGCCATTTTTTTTTCAAAAAAGCTCCGTGTCAAAAAAAAAGCGGAAAAATGTTTATGCTAATGAAGCGAGGGATATCTAAAATCCCAACTTCATTAGCAATTTCGATGTGCCTAATCTACATCTCTTTGTCGACAAAGAGATGTAGTCTAGACACAGTGACACCGCTTAGAAACTTAATTCTGTTTGCCTATCTGTCATACATTGGCAACCCTCAGGCTATGTCTACACTCGCGGCTTCTTGCGTCAGAAGTATGCAAATGAGGCTAAGTGTGGAATATCACCACGCCTCATTTGCATCCCTAAGGAGCCGCCATTTTTGCAGAAGAAGTTCTTGCACCAGAAGGAGCTGTCTACACTGCCCCTTCGTGCACAAGAAAACCCCTCTTGCGCAATGCCAATTATTTTCAGGAACAAGAGGGTTTTCTTGTGCACGAAGGGGCTCAAGAAAATGGTGGCTCATTAGGTATGCAAATGAGGCTTAGTGATATTCCACACAGCCTCATTTGCATACTTCTGATGCAAGAAGCCGCGAGTGTAGACCTAGCCTAAGAGCTCTGACAGTCAGAATGTTTACTAGTTTACTCCAGTGCAGGGCTACTCAACTTTGGAAGTCCTGGGGGCCACAATGGCATTCATAGCACATGCCAAGGACCACAACTTAAGTGTGGTTGTATATACATGCAAATATATATGCAAATAGCTTCTTTCACATTGACTGCATGAATACAAAGATTAAGGGAAGACTACACAACACAGGCCCCATTTAAGTCAGTTCTGCTGTTACTAATAAAATGCAACGTTTACCCGATTTCCACCCACATGACAGCACTTTTAATAAGCCATGATAGTCCAGGAATTTAACTACTAAAATGCATATCAATAGAAGACCATTATATTGACTACTTTTTTGTTTTGGTTCCCACCTGTGGGCCGCATGTTGAGCCCCACACCAAACCACACCACACCACAGGCCACAAACAGACAGGCTCAGTAATTTCAGGAGATGTCTGATAATTCTAATCATTAATATATGGTGCAATACTAACAAATCAGTGGTGAGCAAAGTGCAGCCCATGGACCATATGTAGCCCATCAGGGTTCTGTGTGGTACCCGTGAGACATTTTGTTGCCCACATGCAGGGTTGCTAGATTCCACTAGTTTCCACCCAAAGTTTTTTTCCTACCAATAATACTCAAGTTACACAGACATAGAACAAAAGCAGGTGAAGTGAGATGCATGCTGACTGCACACATTGACTCTCTGAGCCATGTGCTCCTTCTGCAGCCAATGAAAGCGCTGCTATGGTTCAATTGGCATCCTGCAAATTCTAGGTACATAAGTGCAGTTAGCAAAACAGCCCTATCCCAGGAGACAGTCTTTATTACAACAGTCTTCTGACCCACTGAGAGGAAGGAGGGCCAGACATACAGACTACGTGGACAGATCTTCGCCCCCCCCCCCCCCACCTTGCAGCCCCTGTCAGATATAGCAGAAGGGGGGAGAAGAAGGGGGTACTTCTAAGCATCAGCACCGCTTGGAGCCCAAGATCAGACGGGGACAGACTCCAGGCTTTGTGCGGTACTGCTGCTTTGAAACGCCACAGCGGCATTTCATAGGGACAGCAACAAGTGGAGCCGGGGATCAGCTGGGGAGTCCCCTGAGCACAAACTTCCACTCGCCTCCCTGTGTTGCTGCCTCTTTGGGAGGCAACGGGGGGAAGAGGGGGGAAGGAGGGGGCAGAGGGAAGTAGCTCCATGAGATCCGGCATGCATGAGAAGACAGTCTAAAAGCTGGCTCCCCACAGGCTCCCATCTCTCCCCCTTTTCTGTCTCTGATACAGAGGCGGTGGGGGCTGTGTGTAGTCATTAGGATTAACCCATAAGCCCAGGTTTATCTGTTAATCGTTCAAACCAACGACTATATGCTAACATCCCTAATAATTAGTAGATATGTGAAAGTGTAACCTTGTACACGGTTAGCCACCTTCTTGGTTACACAGGCCTCCTGGGATGTGTGGGGAGCTGACTTAAAAGCCCCTCCTGGGAAGCTGTCTCTCCTATCCTACACTCTTGGGAGAGGGGAGGCAGCAGCAAAGGCCAGAGCATTCAGGGGACTGGCCTAAAAGCAGGCTCCCTACACATACTGGTTCCAGGGAGCCACTTGTCCCCTGCACGTACCACTGAAATTTTCAGGGGTTATACATTTACTTCACTGCATTTTAACATCTCTACTAATTAGTGCACACACTTTTAGTACTTTAGTGTCAACTAAATGCATTAATAGAATGCAAACATAACTATGGACTTAACCAGCGTATCAGTATTCCCACTATTTTTCCCCCTTCTGAGCAGATTTGTGTTTCATGCACCAGTATGGAGGCCATGTGATATATCTGTTGGTACCAGAGGTGTGTTAGTGTAAACAGTTAATCTTCACATTATGTGCAGCCTCCTCCACCCATATCAGAGGCAGCAGGGTGTAGAGCAGGAGCTTGTATGCTTGGGAAGCCAGCTTTTAAGTCAGCTCCCTGTGCATACCCGCACTGCTGCTTCTGATACAAAGGCCAGGTGGCTCCTGTTCCTCCCACCTCCACCCCCCGTGTAAATGTGTAACTGCTGACATTTTCATAACAAAATTCACGTGGTGTGGCAAAGGTTCTGAGTGTGGGAGGGGGAAATCAGGCCTGGGGCAGAGGGCTGGGATGCACAAGTGTGAGGATTCCGGGCTGCAGGCTCTGGGATGAAGCCATGTTGAGGGGTTTGGGTGAAGAAGCGTGTTCCATGGTTACTGCAAGGAGAGAGGACTCCCTCTACCCTCTCTCCTTTCAGCAGAAAATAGGTTGGGGAGAGGGAAGGGCAGAAAGGTGTCTTTCCGTGGCAGATCAGGGGGCTGCCGTTGGATGTTAGGCCCCTTCCCCTGGATGCAGCAGGGTCCAGCTGGGACTGGATTGGGGCTCAGCTGGATTGGGGCTCCAGCCATGGTGGATGGGTGGGTCCAGCCACTGCAGCTACCTTTGGACCAGGGGAGAGGTGCCAAGCTTAGGTTGTCCTTCCCCAGGCCATGGCAGGCCCCAGGCAGAGGTAGGTAGAGAAAGGGGTACCTTCCTCCAGCTGGTAGGTCCCTGCCTTGGGCAGATTCCTTGAGCAGCTGCATGGTGCTAAGTAGGCAACTGCCTGGATGTGCAGCTTACAAGGAACTTAGCATCATATCTACATTTTGTAACTTGTTTCTTGTTGTGTAAGTGTATTTTTGAAAGAATGATACTTGTGTGTCACTTCTTCCAGTGCTGGGTCTACTGCACTCGAATACTGTATATTGTAAGTTCCCACTAAAGAAAATAAAAATGCTTTGGTCAATATTCCATAATTCCTATGTATCAGTTAATGCAGAGAATGCTTAGGAGTAACTGCTAATAAGGAACAACAGAGACATTTGTCTAAATCTAATATTTGTATATATTAACAAGTCACCTAACAAATCACAAAAATACTTTACAACAACAGAAT